GAGTCTACTAGTCATTCCCTCCCCGTGTAATACCTGTCTAATAAGACATTCCCTCTCAGCCCTGGACTGAGTTGCAATTCCCATGACAAGGCAGAGGACAGAAGGTTTCTTTCAGTAGGTCCAGGCTAACTGAGGTCAGGGTAAGGGAAGGGCACATAGAGAGGAAGGGAAGGAAAAGGGGTGACGAGAGAAGGTATGAATAAATCAATATGAAAGAGAGTGTGTGTGTGATGTCCAATTGACTGATAAGCACTCGATTCAGTGTTGGGATTATAAATGCTATGTTAACTATAAGGAGGTGAAAGTGCCCTCTAACTATGGAGGTTTCCTAAGGATCTACTGTCATCTTCCACTTCACACTTGGTCCTTTCACAAGCCCAGTCAACTTCACAGCTTTAACTAGCCTTGACTTCCCTCTGCAGTTCTGTCCTCACTTTCAATGAATTGCTAGAAAATAATCTCAATCCCTAAAATTCAGCTGAAAACCATGAGCATCAGATGAGTTACTTGCTTGGCTACACTGTACCTTTCTTTGGTCAATCTGGAGCGAGATCTAAGGGAAGAAAGAATAAAGAATAGGAGTAAAGGAGGCATGAAGAGAAGAGAAAGACATTGAGAGCAGAACGAGGCACAGAGCACCCCATTCTCACTCACCCAGGAAGCAGGTCAGGGCTCCAAACCTACTCCAAACAAGTTTAAATTTCCACGGTAGATTATGCTAGGTCCATGAGCTTTCCCCTTAATGTCATATCATGAGTTGGAAAGCCCATCGACATAAGGTTCTGATTGATGCTTTTCTTTTATAGTTACCATAAGACAATGTTTCATTTTTGTCCTTAAAACTATTATGGAGGGAAGAGAGAAAGGCAAATCACAGCCCACAAATGAGCCATCTTGATTCCTTCAAGATTGCTCACTTTTCCCTTCCCTTTTTCACTTATTTAAAAAATCTAATAAGACTTTTATACTCTTGCACCATCATGAAGTTTTCTTTTTGAAAAGCTATAAAAATCCCCACTGCCTACAGAAAAAAAAAAAGAAACTGAGACCACATTCAAAGTCCTAAATAATCTGGTGTCAATCTGTGTTTCTAATCTTGTTATTGGGTAAGACAGATTTTTTTCACACTAACATTGCTGATCACAAGATAATCAAAGTCTGATATACTGTGCAGAACAGGTAACAAATGCAGGAAATAGGTAGACTGTAAAGGGATATGTTGAAGGGGAGAAGCCTGGAACCTGAGAAATGTAGGTCTGCTAAGTTGCTCCCAAATAGCTTGAAACAGGACCAAATGACGATAAATATGTGAATTGCGAAAAGAGAAAATTGGCAAAAGCAGGCTCTTTCTGTTTTAATCATGCCAGAATCAGCTCAGGCCTGAGACTTCAGCTTTTGAGAATTAGGGTACATCCCAGTGGTAATGACTCACTACTATGATTCATAAAACAGCAGAAAATGAAGAAGTGCAGGGATATGGATGGCCCAAAGGCTCTCTGCAGAGCCGCAAAAAGAACTTAAATAAAGTTCAGTAAGTTAGCAACATTTTCTTTAAGGAAAAAAAGTATTAACATGTGACAAGAGTAGTGGAATTGTGACTATATATGAGTGGTCTCAATTTTTGAAGGTCTCTCACCAAAAACATTAAAAAGAACAGTTAAATATGACGGTAAGAATATGATGCAAGCTGTGCAGACCAACATTTCTGAAGTTCTTGCTTAAACTGAAATATTTTACTTGGCTACTATAGCCAAGCTTTCCAGTTACAATTTTGCAACCTTTCGTGAAAATCGTCGTATTCTAAATATAAATTGTTGGTATTAAAAAGCAGAGTTGCCAAAGAAGGAACCACACAACATAAAAACATGTATCAGTGATACATGTGAATGATCTCAAAGCAATCTTTAAGCACAACTAAATGTCCTTTAGCCTTTTCTGGGCGGCAGCTAGAATCTCTGATGGATCACAAAACGGAGCTGAAGCCTGACAGCTGTCCTATGCAAACCAACTTATTATTGCTCCTAGTAAGCTCAACACTTCTTCCCCCCTCAACTCAGGAAAAAAAATTCAGTCCTCACTCTTTTCTGTGACACCACTAAAAACAGAAAGCGGGCTCCCATCTAGTAAAATACTGTACTGATGTAATTTATCAACCTCCTCCTCTTTTAATCAGCGGGATATTTTTAAATTTATATATCCAGAAACATTTATAATCATGCAAGAATGAGTGACACAAGGAGAGATTAAAAACTAGCCTAACCAAAATAAATCCACCAATAATTAAATAAAGTAAAATAAATCCAAAGCTGGCAGCTTTCCAGAAAAACATGAGTAAAGTTTTTGGTTTCTATGACAGCAGATAACACGACTTATGTTTTACATAAATGTCTTTTTTTAAAAAAGCTCTTTCTCTTAAAAAACACAGAATTGCCAGATTGAAATAAAATTACTTCCTTAACATATACAGTATGTTATACATATACATATACAGGAGAACTACTGGTTTCAATGCTAAAAGGTGACATTTTACCAACAGGTTTTCTAACATTCCCTCAAAACACTGAATACCATCTGTGCATTTCTTTTTGGTAGTAAGAATTTTATTTTCTTTTTAGTATTTTATTTGGCATAAAAACCAAAAAAAAGGGAAGTCACTTGATATATGGGGAGAGAGGAGAAGTCATGTCGAGCAAGAGACATCTGGCACAAACTGTGGCTTTGTGAATCTCAGACTCTGATCCTATAATCAGCAGTGTGTAAATCAAACAATCACAAATAATTTTTATATCCTCCTTTATTATTATCCTTATCTAAAGTACACCATATTAAATATTTCATAATAAAAATGTGGTTTTTCTGGAAAAAGTTGGAAATAAAATATTCATTAAGTCCAAAACAAGCAATCAACATTTATGGTGCAGCATGAAGGAAAACCAGCTAGGATTATCACTGACACTAATCATTTTAAGTAAACAAAGTATCATCTAATTATGGTGGAATAATATGAAAGAACAAGGCTGATATGAAGATATATCAGATTTGTGTTCATGGTCGGAGGTCAGTAACGCTGGCTGAATTAATTACTGTAAGAAGTGAAAATTCAATTGGCTCCGAGGTGTTTATTAATGGTGGGATTATTTAAATGCTATATTCATCTGGGACTTATATTCCAAATACTGTGAAATTCTATTCACTCTTCTGAAACAAAGGATGTTTATGTCAAAAACTTGTTAAATTTATGATTCCTTTAAAAAAAATTAAAAGCAGTATCTTACTACATGTTAAACACTGGAAAAGTACTGGATAAAGACTGTACCACAACATACGTATTTTAGATTTTAAAAAGACTACAAAGAGATGAACGATGCAACCTCCAATTCTAGAGCACCAAACGTCACAAAATGAAACTTTCTGAGGTGATAGCAAGCACTTAATTTAAAACCAAGAGTCTGAAAACAGAATAAAGAAAGAAAAGGGGATACCTCAAAACAAATGAGTCACATGAGTTATTAAAGAAGGGTTTAGATAATGAGAGCAAATCAATCAATCGTGAACCAACACAATGAAATAGCATACAATAAGGTACCGCTCAAATTCTTGGTGCTTTAGGAAAATATACCAAAAGACTCAAGACTATCACTGCTAAGAGAAATAAAATGTGCCATGAAAGAAACAGTAAATTCTCATGCTGCTCTTATCATGAAGGCGATGAGCTATCCATTTATTGTTCGCAGGCTGGTTAAGTAGCTGTCAATCAAGCTGGCAGTCAAGTGGAGATGAGATTGGACAGGGGAGAGCCTGGCAACTGTGCCCCATAGAACTGGTCTGACCCCAGGTTGTCCCTAATCACTACAAGTCTTAAGAATACCAGGTAGCTCGGGTGGTCTGAAGACCTCCCAGTGGAGTTCAGCTCTGTGGTCCCTAAGCAAATCAGATATCTGGGTATCTGAGAAAAATATTTACAGAGGGAGAACAAAGTGACTTCAATCCCCAGAATTTTGGCTGGAAGCTGTGGGGAATAAAGGATTAAGTTGTATATGAAAAGAATAAACACAGAAAAGGAATAACATAGACAGCATAAAGGAAGGAGGGAAGTGAGCAGACTTAAAAGTCATGACACAGTGGCCCAAAATACCATTCACCCAGGAAAGAAGAACAAATAGTGATAACGTACTTAAAATGTCTGCAGTGGAATGCATAGTTATTTCAAAATCCTTTTCCCTTTGATCTTATATATATTACTTTCAATCCATTATGTAATTTTATTAGTCTTTTTCAAGAAAGAAATTAAAATTATATTCTATACACACTAGCAATAAAATTATTTTTATATAAATTTGGGAGTTCAAATATAAGTCACGGATAAAAATAAAGCTCACTTTCGTGCTCTAGATTTCTTTTTAAAAACCTCATAAACAGATTGAGACAAATGCTTATTAAACTAAAATCATGCAGAGCAGCATGGGTATGGGTGAGAGGAAGACGTGCTAGCACACAGTACGAGGCCGCCACCCAGTTCTGTGGCTCATTCCCTTCTTCCTTCTCTGGCCACAGACCCGATGAGTCTTCTGTAGGTTCCAATCCACCTGACTTTCCACTTAGCCTTATTTTTTTCCCTTGCATGACAATGTCTCTTTACAAAACAAGCAGAATATCTCTCATTATTTTTAGTAAATCCAACTTCTCCATTTTTTTTCTGTCATTTTTTTCCTACTACAAGTTAGACTACTAATGTAATTTAAAAACAACAACACTGACAAGAAACTCAGCTAAAACTTTCAACAGAATTACCTTGAAAATTGAGACAAACATTATATCTCAATTACCCATGTAACTGGCCTTTTTCCATCACTAAGGAAGCTGCATTAAGACAGAACCTGACATGGTTAAAAAGAATGTTGGAGATAACTGACTATGATCCATAATCTAAATATGGCATTTTTCCTAAAGTTTCTTCAGAAAAGAGAGGGAATAGGGGGAGGAGGGGAAATCACACTTACAAGTCCACTTATGGCTACAATCCAGATGTAGGAACCAGAGGTGAAAAGCTATAAAAGAAAAAAAAAGGCAACTAAAAATGAAATTCAACTGCTAGTCACAGCATATACATTTTACATAACTATAGTCATAACCATTTATGTTAAGCATTCATTATATATATTAATATAAACAAATATAAAATTAATAACAATTCTGTTATTTAAGAGAAAATATTATATTAATTTTTATTTTATTTTTTTAACCAAGACCGCAGTCTTTCTATAGGCTAAAACAGATTGGTTGAACACGGCCCACTCCCATGCAAGGAAAAGTAAGGGAAATCCAAGTGTATTCCTATTTATAAATGGATATTAATTGATTTAAACAAAGTAAAATATCACATATAAAGAAATTATTAGAATTAACAACACAATAAGTAGTCACCATCCAATGCTTCGCATTAAGTAATGATATGTAATTATCAGTTTATGTAATTCTCTCATTTTAATTTCTCATCCTTGTTACCCTAAATTTAATGGGAAGACTTCTGCAAGCAGAGGGATCCATGTCCAAGACTACTCTGCTTAACTGTTGATATTCTCATCCCAGTTTACCCAAGGAAGAGCAAACTAACCAGTGCAAAGTTAATTCATGGCAAAAGTAATTAAACTTAGGTCTCATGAAATCTTTCCCTTTGTTTTCCAAATCATTTACATCTAAGAGTTGTGCTCAGAATTAAAGAAAAAAAGTCATAAGACACCTCAAAGTGTTCCTGCAAGAAAGAAAAGACTTGTAGCCTAGTGTTTGTTCATATTTAGATCTCTAGATTAGTTTAAATACTTCTGCTCATAGAGAAAGAAGCAGGCTACCCAGGTTCATTGCTGACATTGTGCTAGATGAAAACCTCAAACTCCTGCACATTTATCAAGGATACATAGAATAAGAAGATATACAGAAAGAAGACAGAGATGACAAAGCACGGTGAGAAGGAGGCTGACGAGCTTTGCTCTAGTGCTCGCTCACCTACGTAGAAATGAGCGCTGGCTGCAACTTTAAACTGAATCCTTTGATCTAGCATGGATGCTTGTTCACTGTAAATGACTCTGATAATAACAAGGATGAGAATTATGTGGAAAAATATTTTTCTCCTAAAAATATAAAGAATAACAGAATAGCTAACACTTTCGTAGCACTTACTATGTGCCAGACAGTGATTGTCATGCTTTTCATATATTAAACTTACTGAATCCTCCTAATCACCCTAGGAGGTAAGTTCTACTAGCACTCTGGTTTACCCACAAAAAGATGGGGAGGTTAAATAATTTGCTCAAGGTCAAAGAGCTGGTGGGTGGTGGAGCTGGGAGTACACCCCAGTGTTCTGGCTCCAAAGCCCCATGCTCATGACCTCTCCATGCTATTATGTCTCATACACAAGTAAGAAGAGCATATCATTAATTCCGCCAGTGAAAAATTATTTCCTTTGGACTCTTAAGCCCCTCATCTTATTGCATATTTGGTCCCAATCGTGTCTGCTCATGTTTTGACAGTGTGTATGTTTTTCCTTGCTGCTGGGTTCCCTGAGGACAGGCACCACATCTCGTACTTCATTTTATCCCCCACAGCCCCCAATCACAGGGCATTATATGACTGGCTTTCAAGTCATCTGATACTTAAATGACCCTTCAAACAGCTTTGCTCTTCTGATAATGATTAAAGTCATTTATTCACTCATGCATCTATCCATCAAATGTCCCTAAGCTACAAGAAGGTGCTATGTGGGAGCCAAAAAGGCACAGAAAGATGGGCAAAGGCCCAGAGAGGAGGGAGGGAGGAAATAAAACTTTGAGAATAAGGGGCTCATACTCATTTGAAGGTAAGGAGTGGTGAGAGTTGATACTGGACAGGTAAGAAGAACGTAGGATGCCATTTATGCTAAGGACTTTAGATTTTATCAAGAAGCCAATGAAGCATGCCACCTCTACTTTCTGATATCAACTTCTACCTCACCAAAAAAAAAAAAAAACCACATTCACAATCTCAGAAAAACCAATGGTGACAGCTATAGAGACATAATAAATTATTAATTAATAACAGGAACCAATTGACATAGTTCTTATTATCTGTACAAATTACCCTAAACACCCAATACTATTATCTTTAAGCCTTCAAACGGTCCTGTAAGATAGATATTTTTATACATACATTACAGATGGGCAAATGTGGGCTCAGAAGAGGGGACAGGCAAAGCAAATAATTTTCAGAGCAAGTAATAAAACCAAAGTCCACTTGGCTCCAAAGACTTTCCACAATGCTCCACTGAATTCCTACTCCATGCATAATAAACCAGTGTTTCTCACCCCCCAAAGATGCTGTATAACTTTAGAGTTGGGAGGAACTATAGAGTCAACACGAGGCTCAGAGGCCTTCCATAATGGACCCAAGTCTCAAGCTAGTGAGTGCCACATTAGAACCAGAACTTGGATCTCCTGCCCCAGGTCTAGGGTATTCCTCTTCCATTACATTTTGCCTTCTGTGGTAACATCTTTTAAAAACTTAAACATGCCACAGCAAATTCAGTAATAAGAATAAAATGCAGAAATGGGCTATTGGGTTATATGAATATAAGGAAGGATAAGGGAGAGTGAAATGATATCTATGTTGGGAGATGAAAAATAAACATATTTCATGAGAAACGGTTGTAAAGGTGGTAAGGAAACACCCACCCCAGATGAGCCATTGATAACACACGATAGTAGACTAGAGAAGTTAGAGGAAATGCTAAAGGTTAAAAGGGGAGGGAGGAGGGCATTTTACAGCGACACAAGTATCCGGTTTGATATGTGTGGGACAAGGAATGTTATGAGTATTAAGAGTGGATCAAAAGGCCAAGCTACACATGGTACCACAGGAAACAGCAGAATAAAAGTTTACATCAAAAGCTGTGAGAGTGAAAGAAAAGTGACAAGTATTACAGGTAGAAAACTGAAAATCATATGTATCTTCTATCACCAGGCCTGGAACCGCAGAAAGTGATCAATATTCACTGAATATTGGGGAAGATAACCTTTTTCAATTTAAGTCACACAATAAGTACTCTTAACGATCTTCATATCAAACCGTTTGGCAAATGGGGAGGTGCTATCAGGCCTATGCAACACAGAAGTTATAAAGTTGGTAAAGCATATCTGGTTTCTTCTTCAGAGCTTTATTTGTGACACTGTATTCAATACATTAATTTTGACAGTGACTTTCCACTTTCCATCTTTTGACTGTTCTCATTTGTTTCCACTTCATGCGATGATTTTTTTACAAAGTCTTACATGCACTTGTACAATGAAATTAAAATATTTTCCACTGATACAAATTACAGTGAAAGGTCTTATCAGATTTCTAAAGGCTATGAAAGTATTCTAGTATCTTATATACCTTGATGTTCTCGTTCTGAAACACTTCCTTTGAACATTTGATATAGATCATGAAGCCAAACTTATGGGAAAAAAAACATTGTTTTCAAGGAGATCAAATAAGAAAAAGACCAAAAAAAAAAAAAAGATCTGGTTAAATAAACGTGAACAAAAAATGCATACTGTACCTGTAGTCCCAATATATAAATCAATGTCTTGTTTGTGATGGACAACGGGCCCAGAATTTGTGCCACTTGGACTCTCGGTATGGAGCAGTAAAATGGTACAAACAGAGCAAACACAGGTGCCAGGCTATGCAAACAAATAAAATAAAATCACTATAGTATAATACTCAATTTAAAATACCAATGGCAAATGTATATTTGAAGTAACACTGCTTATAATTTTATTTCAGTCTGAAAGCAAAGTCTTAGATACACAAGTTCTACACATCACATCACGTCTGAAATAATTCGTATTCATATATAACATTTTATGAAAACTCTTATTATCTAATCCTTGTTAACTCCCCCAAAACTATTGGAAAGAAGTGGTTCAGCATTAACTAATTAATTGTCAGGCACTATGAGAAAATTTAAAGTTGATGCCATGTTTTCTTCCCAGGAATGACTTAAAATCTAATGAAAGAGACTAGACACACAAAACGCAACAGACATTATAATTCATCATGGTCAAATCCAAAATCCTCATCTCAGACTTTGTCCAGTTATATATTAGCATAGCACTGCTTACCACTCCTGCCTTCCCTTCCTCAAATTCCTTCCTCCTTTTGTCTTAAACCCTGTCTCTTGCTGGTTTCCCCACGATTTCTCCTACCACTCTTCCACCTTCTCTGGGAATCCATTATAGTCTTTTCTTCTTGCTCCAGCATCTCCTTGTATAACTGCAAGCCCTTCTATGGGTTCAGTTAAGAAAATGAAGTGAGTCCCAAAACTGTCTGCCTGTCCCCTCACCTTGGTAATGAAACTCAATTTGGTATTTTCAACTTGACACGTTCAAAGTCACAAGTGTCTTTCTACTTAAAGTCTTCTCTCTATCTCTTAATACTGTTAACAGTATTCTCTTTCCAAAACACAACTCTGATGATGCCACACCCCTGTTTAAAACCCTTCCTTCCACAGGCTCCTAGTATCCAAAGAGTAAATTTAAATATTAGCATGAAATAGCCAAGTCCTCCAATTCTTTCTTATCAGTGTAGTTTCCGCAACTGTTGTCCCCTCTCTTCCCCTCATCTGGTCCCTCACCTCCCACCTCCACCTTGCAAAGATGCTCGCTGGGCACATTGGGTTCTTTTGACTATTCAGTGACACAAGTTATTCTTTCAACCTAAATGTCCTTTCCACTTTTCTGCTTAGGAAAGTTATACTTATGGTGTATGACACAGCTCAACTCTTCTCCTCAGTGATTTTTCCAACTCTCCTTGGTGGTTAGTAGCTCTCTTCTTTGCCCACAAAGCTACCTCAGTTACACTGTTTCAATTACTCAATGAATCACCTGGGCACTATGTGAGAGGCAGTAGGCCAGGTAGAGGAGCTCCATCTACATCTATGAGTAAGAAGCAGTCGAGCCAGCCCTGACGGCCCAGTGGTTAAAGTCTGGTGCTCTCACTGCTTCGGCGGCCTGGGGTTTGTTTCCCAGTCATGGAACCACACCACCCAGCCGTCAGTGGCCATGATGTGGCGGTAGCTCACATAGAAGAACTAGAAGGACTTACAACTAGGGTATACAACCATGCACTGGGGCTTTGGGGAGAAAAAGAAAAAAAAGAGGAAGACTCATAACAGATGTTGGCTCAGGGTGGATCCTTCCCCATAAAAACAAAAAACAAAACAAAACCCTAGATAGAGGAAAAGAAGGAGCTGACCTAAGAAACTGGAAACCAGGTTTAAAAAAAACATTTTTTTTAAAAGAAGCAATCACTAACCTCTAGCGACTAGCTTCAGGACTGCAACTTCGCATTCCCACAAAGGCTGGGCAGACAACATGAATGAGTACAGGGGTTTGGACACACACCTGCACCCATTCTTCACTAAACACTTGGCTTAATTACTTACTCTGTCTTCTATTTTCCCATTTTCTGTGTGACTGGCATCAGCACAAAGAACTGTTTCTTGACCATAATAAAAATGCAAGAACTATTCTTCGCTTCCACAAACAAATGTTCACACTACCATTTTTGTGGAAACTCAGGACCCTCTTGGCCTCTTGTGAATTTTCCCATCTTTGATAGAGATTGTGCTATAAAAAAAATCATTTACTGTCCTCTTAATTTTACTATTAAAAACAAAACAAAAGCAAACATACACTGCAACTGTGATAAATGGCAGCCGCATCAATAGGCATCCACAACAATGTAGCATACGCTAGAATAGGGAAAACGTCAACCAGTGGACACCTAAGTGCCAGGCACTGGGTCAGGATAGCAGACACAAAGACGCGGAAGATGCAGCCTCTGGCAGTCTTATAAGGAGGATGACAGGGACAGGGCAGCAGAGGTAGTACACAGCACAGCAGATCAGTCACGAATGCTTCACTCATCTGGCCCTCGCAGACTGAGCACACCCCACAGCAGGGAAGGAAATGCATCCTCTTGTTTCTCCTGGCATCCGGCACAGTGCTTGGCACAGCGCAGGAGCTCAATAAACTGGGGGCAAGGAAATAATCCTTATTCTTGAACAGTTGTATGATCTACGTTTTAACTAACTATATGGAATTTTTAAAAATCTCTCATTAGATTATTAATTCTGTGAGAAAGAACCATGTTTTATTTAGCGTTACACCCCCCTTGTGCCTAATGCAGATCCTTACACACAATAGACCCTCAACATTTGTTAGGTTAAAAAAAATTAAGAAAGTAATTTTAATGAACAGAGACTTATTTACATTGCCATTTTGAATACTATACAAGAGAACTTTCCCAATTCAAGTCATCTAAACCCAAACACAGTCGATTAAGCAGCTGTACGTTCTTTTCATTAATAAGTACCAGTTAGCCACTCCTGGGCTTAAAATCCTCCAATGACTCCCCACCCTGGAGTTAACGCCAAAGTTACAAAGACCTATGAGGCCCTGCATCCCCCACCCCAAAGCTGGTCTTCCCCTACTTAGTTTCCCCAACACTTGCTCTCGCTGCTCCAACCACATTGGACCAGGGTGTGTCTCACTCAAGCAGGACCAGGCACACAATGTCCAAGGCGTGTGCATCTGCTCTTCCCCTCTCCTGGCCACCCTCCCACAGACGGGTGAGTCACTTACTCCCTTACACTCTTCAGGTCTTTACTCAAATAGCTCCTTCTTGGAGAACCCTCCCTGACCACCCCATTGCAAGCTGCAGCCCCTCCCGCACCCCCAACCCTGTGCACACTCTGCACGCTCTAGTTCCTTTCCTCAGAGCACCCATAACTGTTTAATCTACTACATGACTTGTTTATCATCTGTCTCCCTGACTAGAATGGAAGCTCCACGAGGGAGGGGATTTCTGTCAGTTTTGTTCCCTGCTTTATCCCCACTATCTAGAATCATGTCCAGCACGGAGTAGTTGCTCAATAAGTATTTGCTAAATAAATGAATTTCTCTTTAAAATGGCAAAACCATACAGCAGAATTTGCGTTTTATTTTGAAAAGCCCCTTCCTTATTATTCTTAATGAAATTGAAAAATATGGTTTCATATATATACTCAAAATATGACCTGTTGGTCTCTTGATAATAACAAGAAAACTCTATTTTGGTTGCACTTGAGATCTCTCACCACAGAACATGTTCTTTGAGGTACTTAATTTAAAGAAATTCTTCTGTTTACATTTAGTAAGAGAGTGTAAAAAGTGATGTTATAATAAAAATCTGAAGCAGAGTTCTTATTTGAGGTTATATTTCAATGTAAACTAAGAAAATACTGATAGGAATTTTAATGACCACAGTTCGTGTCTTCTATACCAATTGAAGAAGTGTTAAAATTCCTTAGAAGTTATTATTCACTGTATAGTTTTAAATGATGACTAAATACTAGACCACATATACCCATAATACAAAAGGACACATTGCAGACCATGGTTATATAGGTTGTTTTGTAGAAATTTTCCGTTGCTATTTCTATACACACAGACTTCATAAAATAGCATAATGATATTAGTCACTGACCAGTTTTCCTCTTCTCCTTATTTTATGAAAACATCTGTTCTTTATACTGTCAACAATAATTCAGTCTGACCTTTTTCATACTGTGAATAGCTAACTTCTGGAAGCCCTATCTGGCTTAAAGCATACGAGGCTGAAGTACAGAAAAGAGGTTAGAAAGAATTCATTCATTCCTTCAATTATGTCACTAATAATTACTGACTATCTATTATACTCACAACTGTATTCAATAGAATGAATAAAATAATAGAAACAGTTCAGGTCACAAGCCCCCATCTTACTTCTTCCACAGAGGAGGACAGTGACTGCACTTTTATAGCACAACTAAAGAAATCCTGGTAATTTTCCATAACAATAAAAATAAGTTTTGTGAGCTCATGAAATTATTTCACACTAAGCGTCAACAGCATCTCACAGGACAATTACCTCATCACCTCTTCTTTATATACCTGACTATTCTAATATCAAAAAAGAGGTAGATCAAGTTTGCTACAACATTTATTTTACCTAATTGAGTTCACTATATAACAATGTTTTACTTAGTAACTATTTCAAAAATTAAAAACCAAAACACCTCACCAGGATGGCCTTTCAACAAACTGAAAAACTTAACAGTATCGTCTTCAAGTATTCTTCAATTCGTTTTAAAGGAACTAGTTCTAGAATATTTTCTGACCTTTATCCACCAAATCATAAAATCTCTGTATTTCCCTATCATAGAATTTTGGCACTAGGAATTATCTAGGTGATCATTTGGTTCAATACCTTTACTTTATAGATAGTAAGGTAGAGGCCCAAAGAAATCGGGTTGGCATTCTTCTGTTTGACAAGGTTTCTCTACAGATCTTCAGCATCTTAAGAGACTAAAGAACCTCATAACCTTCTAAATGGAATAATACCACTGAGGGGCTAAAGCCGCTTGACCATTTTGATAGAATCCTGGAATGCAAGGGTCTCTAAGATCAGAGGGTTACCAATTCCTACCAAGTGATGCCACTCTCTCTACATCATCCCTCAAAGACGCCATCCAGTCTATGCAAGCATCTAGATAAAAGACAGCCTATTCCATTTTTTTATGATCCCAACTTTTGGGAACCACTTTCATATTTTGACTTGAGAGCTATCTTGAGTAACTTCCTGTTACTGGCCTTCCTTC